CACCGGCGGACCAACCACCGCGCCAGCTCTCGCCGTCGGCTTGTAAACGTGCGACGGCGGAGGACATGGCTCACTAGAATATTGCTCGCTGACGTCAGACCCCGACGGACTTCCTGGGATCATGTACAACCCGGTGGACCCCCCTCCGCCGCCGGATCCACCGCTGGCAGTCCGTTTCAGCGGCTGCTCCGCCGTCAGATCACAATCGTACCCTCCGTTGGTAGCAAAATCACAGTTCTGCCCTTCTCCACCGGGAACCATGGCGACGCACTTGCGCTTGAGCGTGGAGTTCCAATGGTTCTTGATGGCGTTGTCGGTTCGGCCGGTGAGGAGCCGAGCGATGGTCGCCCACTTGTTACCGAACCGAGCGTGGGCTCGAATGATGGTCTCGTCTTCCTCTGACGTGAAGGCTCGATGCTCCACCTCCGGCGACAGCTGGTTGCACCACCGGAGCCGGCAAGACTTGCCGGAACGACCAGGGATCGACTTGCTTATCAGAGACCAGTTCCTGGGACCGTGTTTCTCGACCAGCTTCTGCAACAGCTCGTCTTCCTCTGGGCTCCATGGCCCCTTTATCCTCTCCATTTCTCTCCGGCTCGGACCAGACATCTCCGATCTTGTTTAACAGAAATGTTCGGTCTTCTCCCTCTTCCTCTGTTTTTTTTTTTGGTCGGGAGTTTTAGAAGTTTTTTTTTTTTTTGGTTGCAGGGCGGTTGAGAGGATAAGACCGAGAGGGGGTATTTATACGGAAAGGAATGTCAAGGGTCACCGATTCAGCCGGTTACTTCTCACTGATTAACCGAAAGATTTTAACATTAAATATATTTTTTTAATTTATCTAAATTCTACTGTCTATATAATAATATATGCATACTCACATTATCAAATGTAAACTGAATCCGAGAAGAAAAAAATGCAATTTTATCCATAGAAATACGAAAGAAAACGCCATTGAAATAGCTCTATTGAGAGTATGTTATTTCTTCCAAAACTACTGTACATTGTATTTATACTTTCAAATTAAAAAAAAAAAAGACATAATCTATTTTTTTAATACGATCAGCGGTTGGATCGCGCGTTTTCTAGTGTTGGTGCGTTTGTTTACGGTGTGTTGATTGAAAGAGGAGAGAATCTTCCTGGTTAACGGTTTTGGACTTGGGATACAGCTGTATAAGGACACGTGTCAACAAATCGCTTCCTAATAATATTCAATGGAGCGTCAATTCCACTCTCCATCTCCCAAGTGGACCGTTTGTATTCAATCATTTCGTTTTCAATGAAATAAAAACGGTGAAGCCTTTTATATAGAATGGACCGACCTCATCCCTCTTTGTTCTCTTCCCCTTTAAATTCAAAATATACTGATATTTTGTACATGTTAACAATTCATGTGTTATATTTCTCTGTGATCTTTGCCCATCAACACAGGCAACAAACAGATAATTGGAAAATAAACTACTTTTTGCCTTAATAATGCATTGTATTGATAAATAATATTTGGTAAATTTTCAATGTTTACAAGTCATATTATATACTATTTTGATATTATGAGCTATTAAGAAAGATGATCTTCATTTTTATTTTTTTATTGTTCAACTAACAAAATAGCAATAACATAATTATGGTATGATGCTCCAATGGTGTGAGAACAAGACCATATAGAAAGGGTTAAGAAACCATATATATATATATATATATATATGGGTTAAAATAGCAGAGTAAAGAGATGCGCGTGGATGGCGCGTGGTTTTTTCCCCCGGAAATTGAAATTTGTGGGTAATAAAATCTAAAAATTGAAATACCAAAACTACAAAAATATCTAAAACCCTTGTGTATGTAAACATCACGTGCGTGCACACAAAAAATCAAACAACCTTAAATACATCTAAACGATTATATATTGATTGTGTCTTTTTATTTCGTTAATATTATCGATTACATGAATAAAATTTAACCAAAATAAAAATGAGAAGACCGGTAAAATTTCTGTAATAAGAAAAAGATAAAAACAAGGAAGATAAGGATGACGTTCAAACTTAGGGTTTTGTTCGAATGTGAGGAAGACAGCCTGTACGCCATTATTATATGTTAATTATAATTATGGATAATCCATCTCATCTTAATCCCCCCAAACTAAAACTAACTAATCAAGCAAAAGAGAGAGACTATTGCTGACGTGGCGCAAAACGACAAAAGGTAGTACGCCGAATCGAAGGTCTGATCAGTTACCACTTTATTCCCAATTTTTTTTTATTGTTTTTAATCATAATTTTAAAAATATTTTAGGTGACCGAAGACAGAAGACAGCCTGTCGTTGTAACCTCACCCTTTTAACGGCCACCTCCCCACCCCACCCACCTTCCCCCTTTCTTTCTTTTTTATTATTATAAACAGAATTTATATTAATCCTTTAAATGGAAATTATTCTCGATTTTGGGTATGCTCGAATAGTTTAATTTAATTGAATATAAATGGACGTTTTCCAAATATATACAGAATTTATAACCAGTACAAATCGATCACTATATGTAGCTTTTTTTGGGTTCTCTTTTAGATATTTATAATTATCCCTATTATTTCGGATTATATAGGACAAATATAAAAAAATTATATTTGAAATTGTTCATGATTATAAGGCTCATCTTAACTTTTGGACCGGTTGAACAATGTATATATTATGGCGCATGATCAGAAGATATTATTATGTTATTTTAGTTTTTCCCAAACTAAATCTCTTCTTATTTCGAAAAAATTATTCTTAATTGAAAAATAATAATAATGGAGGGTAAAACATGTTATCAACTTTAAATATAATTTTAGTGAAAAAAGAATGATAGAATATATCAAGAAAAGAAATTGAAAGGGGATCCCGTACGGAACCGTTAACCGGCAATGTACTATGCACTACCAAAGTCACATGCTTCGGTACTCATGGATTTAGATGACCAAAATATCCTTCTTTCATTTCTTTTTGTAGATTGGAAAAATATAGAATAAAATAAATAATGTATATATATATATGCGTAAATAAAATATTTTAAAATTATTTAGTTTCAATAAAAACATTTTAAAATAATAAATCGTTACATATTTAAACACTGTTAAAAAAACGTTAAAGCCATATTTTTTTATTAATTATACCTATGATTTTTTATATTTATTTTTTAATATATAAATGGATATTAATAAAAGCCTTTCTGGGAGAGAAAAACGGATTAAAAAAATATATTTCATGCGACAAACTGGATAACAAATAATAAATTCGTTTGGGACATTGATTTCGCAAATATAATAGTTTAAAACAAATATACATTACTGTATATTAAAAGATTTTTTAAATAAGGAGGGATAAGATTCGGTCAAGAATTTTAATTGGAGAGGGAAATTATATAAGATTAGGAGAGAGATTAAGGGAGGGGGTAGGGGGGGGGACAGAGAGACAAGGCGGTGTAATTAATGAAGATACGGTATGAGATTTCAGTTGTTGGTACATCGTACCTAACTTCCTAATTCTTTGCTAATCTTATTTTTAATATTTTTATGCGGCACTAATCATATACTAAACGAATCTCATTTATAATTAAGTACATGCAAGTTCCTTCAATTGATGATTTATCTCTCTTTAAACCCCGATATGCATCTACATTTCGTCAATTACATTGAAATATTTTATTTCTCCCTTAATTAAATTCAAATTACATAAAATCATTAATTCATATAACGATTTTGATTCAAATTCTCATAATCGCATACATTTGAAAAAAAAACTTCACATGTCATGCTTGTTATAACTAACTTCTGAAATGTCTCTTATTTGTTGGAAACAAGTTGCAATTTTTCATTTAGTATCGTCTTGATGATACGATAAATAAGGAAACTTATTCTGTATAAGAAGCATGTTTTGATAATAATAATAATAATAATAATAATAATAATAATAATAATAATAATAATAATAATAATAATAATAATAATAACAATGATGATGATGATGATGATGATGATAATGTGTTATTACACAAACAGACACGCAATGTCATAAACTCATGTGACTAATTCATTGCCAAAGCCATTTATCGAAATGCATGGTCTATTAATTAAAAAAATCCTGACAGGTTCATTGCATTTAGCTCTCATATATACTAATTAATGATGCCTTGTTCATGCAAACATGATGCATTTCCCTTACTTATGCATTGATAATAACAGCAATTTAATAATAATAATAATAATATACATGTATAATTCGGAGTCTAATATAAATATTCTTAGCAATTAATAGTTCGCAAAATGGAATGATTATATGTTCAGCTCAGTGGATCATTTTACACAATTTATGCCAAACGGTAAGCATACAAAAATTAATAACTTTGGTGAATAAAATTATCGAAGGCACGTGCCGGCAACGAGAGATCACGTGAGGGGAGCAGACACACGTGCGACTTGTTTCCCCCCACCGCAGCAGCAACCAGCTGACGAATTTGACCATTGCGGAAGTCTTCCACTTATCCTTTGCTCGGTACGGAAAAGGATATTTTAGTAATTTACACAACAGGGCTGCATGACACCGAGCAAAACAGATCTTACCTTTGATTCGGTTGTTGGGTTTCTTGATTCGGAACACGTGAAACCCAGATTTCTTTCAATTAAATTATATACATCCAATATTTATTTCAATCTTATTTATTATTTCACCTTAAATGCTTTCGTTTCGTCGATTTTTATTTGATCTTTAAGTTATCGTGTTGTCAGAAGTTTTTGTTAAATCCGAATATTCGCTGTCCATATCCTATATGTAAAAAGTTACAACCACAAATATAAGTTATATAACCCAATCCGCTGAAAATGATTCATTTTTCCAAAATCGAGAACGAATATTGTCACATACATCACAAAAAGTCACTCGGACAGGAGTTTTAAAAAATAATAAGTGTTCTCTTTAGCCATAGAGATATTTACATAATATAATGCCTGTCCAATTGATTATACTTCATATGCATCGATCGATTTTACAAAGTATATACATAAACTACGTCTATTCGTATCGTTCAAATTAAAGTATAATTCAATATGCATGTGATATTCTCTGTACCCTTAAAAAATAATCAAATTGTATGACTAATATATATATATATATACATATATATATATTGTATAATTAAGACCCTTTTCTACATTTTTTTTTTGTCTTTTTACAACTATTTACATCATGACGAACATAAAATTATCGGTTATAATTAATGTTGGACATTTAAACCCCTTAACAATGGATTCGTGGATATTCGATATCACGGGTACTCGGAAAAACGAATACTCGATTTTGAACGAAGACGAAAACAGGTGTAATAAGATGATGACGAAGACGGGTTCATGTTTCATTTTCTCAAGACGGTTATCCGCGGATATCCGTAAATATATACTAAAGACCAAAATATCTCTATATTTTTTTAAAGTTATTTATCAAAATATTAGTTTTTAACTTTAAAAATCAACGTATATCTTTTTAAAAAATTATAAATATATGTATATTAAAAAAATATATAATTTTTCAGATTTTAAACCTATTTTTGAATTAAATAATATGATTTTACTAAATATTTTTTTTATATTTATATTTAAAAATTTTATTTTACGGATACCCGTCTTTTAGTTGCGGATACCCGTTTTTCATAAGATAAAGAATGAGATATTTTTTCATGAAACTCGCGAAGA